TTTATATTGACATGGTTTGGTTTATGACGTAGGTTTTATACTGACATGGTTTGGTTTATCACGTAGGTTTTATATTGACATGGTTTGGTTTATGACGTAGGTTTTATACTGACATGGTTTGGTTTATCACGTAGGTGTTATACTGACATGGTTTGGTTTATCACGTAGGTTTTACACTGACATAGTTTGGTTTATCACGTAGGTTTTATACTGACATGGTTTGGTTTATGACGTAGGTTTTACACTGACATGGTTTGGTTTATCACGTAGGTTTTATACTGACATGGTTTGGTTTATCACGTAGGTGTTGTACTGACATGGTTTGGCATTCCACGTAGGTTTTATACTGACATGGTTTGGTTTATCACGTAGGTTTTATACTGACATGGTTTGGCATTCCACGTAGGTTTTATACTGACATGGTTTGGTTTATCACGTAGGTTTTATATTAATCTTACAGTTTTGTAAATGTCGTACTTGTGTTAGATAGTTTCGTTTCTACGTAACTGTTACAGTGATCTTACATGTTTTAATTTCTAAACTATGTTTCATACTGACCTTGCATGGCTTGGTTTTAAAGTAGATTTTGTGCTGTATATATGTGAGTAGGTTTTCAATTAGATTTAACACTGATCTTAGATTACTATTCTTTCACGTAGATTATAATTTCACGTAGAGTTGCCACTAATCATGCACGCCTCTCGGTTTATAGGGTATACTACTAACTAACTTTCATTTATGCTCCACGAGGTGGCGCTATTTCGATTATATTTCGCCTGTTGAGGATCACACCTGAAGGTATTTCTTCTTAAACTCACCAGGTTTGTCTGACCATACGTTATCTGAGGTCGATATCGAGAAGTACCGAAGTTTGCACTGAAACCACGCCTTAACTTCACTTAGAACTAAGGAGAACACTGCTTGACTTGGTGTTCGTAGGGAATCTCCACCGATCACATGTAGCTTGATTTGAAGCCAGAACTGTTGGTAACTCACAGGGATCAAACACATAAAATCTGAAGATAAATTCACACCTTAAGGAATAAAAAGAAAAATAAGATGGACAATTTTCTTTTAATATATATTGATCACTTTTGGTTAATGTTCATGTACGACGACTGTTCATTACATATATTAGTTTAAAATCCATGACGTTCACTCATTGTTAGAAACTAACTCGGAGTTGTTAACTTTATAAATCAATTTTTATAATAAAAATTATTTTAAAAAGTTCTTGTTTACGAATAGAAGCACATTGTAGATGTTTTGTACATATTTCAACGGAATCTCTTAGTTAAGTACAAACGAAAACAGACCAAGTCTCTACTGAAATGTGTAAACTTACTCAGTACAAAAGTCTAGATTTAAAATGTTTGTGAATTGTAAACCTTGTATTTTAATGATAGGATCGAAAATTCGCTCACTCTTTCTGGGCTACGACTGCACGTGTGTATTTTTCTTATATATTACATGTTAGCGTCATGGCTGTGGTTCAACATATTTATATGAAACTGTAAGGCTTCCAGTGGACAATCTGTTATTGTAACTTATTTCACTATTTATTACCGACAAAAGGATTTACTTTACTTCAGTTGATGGTATGTGTTTACTTTACTTCAGTTGATGGTATGTATTTACTTTACTTCAGTTGATGGTATGTGTTTACTTTAATTCACTTAATGGTATGTGTTTACTTTACTTCAGTTGATGGTATGTGTTTACTTTACTTCACTTAATGGTATGTGTTTACTTTACTTCACTTAATGGTATGTATTTACTTTAATTCAGTTGATGGTATGTATTTACTTTAATTCAGTTGATGGTATGTGTTTACTTTATTTCACTTAATGGTATGTGTTTACTTTGATTCAGTTGATGGTGTGTATTTACTTTATTTCACTTGATGGTATGTGTTTACTTTACTTCAGTTGATGGTATGTATTTACTTTACTTTAGTTAATGGTATGTGTTTACTTTACTTCAGTTGATGGTATGTATTTACTTTACTTCAGTTGATGGTATGTATTTACTTTACTTCAGTTAATGGTATGTGTTTACTTTGATTCAGTTGATGGTGTGTATTTACTTTACTTCAGTTGATGGCATGTATTTACTTTACTTCAGTTGATGGTGTGTATTTAC